CAAGTTTGTTGAAATTCAACCGATCTACTCGTTTCTTTTAGATTTTCTAGATGATGGTGCCAATAGATCCAATGATTTATACACATAATCACAACAAAAGTTGGCATTACTAACAGTAACAAATCATTAACACACTCAGCAATATCAATGACCCAAGTCATATCTCTATTAATTTAAAACTTGTCGATTTAGGTAAAACTTGATTCTATTCAATCATTTTCTTTCTTATTGATTTTTAAGCTTTAATCACCTCTTATGATTTATTTAGGATGATGAAATTTAGATCTAATTCTTTAAATCTTGAATTTTATTTTTTTAGAAATTTCATGAGATTACTAAGAAAAATCATCAAAGCTTTAGAAAGTTGATTTGATTTGTTAAAACCAATTTATAAACTTCTTAATCTAACAAAAACAAACCAAAATCATTTAGAAATCAGAATTTAACAAAGAATATTGAACTTTACCATTAAATATTCAAGATCCTCAAGAAACTCATAATTTTCCGAATTTATCATTACAAAGGATCAAAACCTATTTTGAAAAAAAAATCATTTAGATTCATGAATTGGAAGATGGATTTTACCTTAGTTGAAGTAGAAAAATGAACTAGGAGATGATTTGATGAAAATTCCCTTGAAAATAACTTAGAAAAGAGAGAAAAAGATAATTTTTGTATGATTTGTTGAAAATTTTAAGAGTGAAATTTGTGTTTGGGTGATTTGAAATGAAGGTTATTATTTGTGTTGGGATTTCGATGAAGCTCAAATTGAACAACTGAATATTGTCACAAGGGGTGAATTGGCTTTTTGAGTTTAGGGAGTAAGGAGTAAAAAGAGAGAGACAATTTGCACAAGATTTATAGTGGTTCGACTTCTCAACCAAGTCTACATTCGCTACCTAAGCTTCTCACTTAGGATTTTCTAACAAATTCACTAATTTATTCTTTCTTTTTTCAGGATAAAGAGATAACCTTCACAACTCACTAGATTTTAAAAAGCTAAGCTAAAACCAATCCCCTTTCAAAGGAGTAAAATATGTAAACAAAAAACATCTTAAAAGAAGGTATTTATAAAGATTAAGCTCACTAAAACACTAATGTTTACAAGAGAAAGGAAAATAAGAATGAAAAGCTTTTCTCTTGTGTTTGATTGCTTGGATAGGTGTTCCAACTTTTTTCAAGTATCCTCAACTTGTTTTTATATGTTGGAATGAGTTTGTAGTCATTTCTAGCCATTGGGATGTTTTGGGAGTCATTGGGGATAAATTTTCTGCAAAATAAAATGCTCAGGACATGGAGTATCGGTACTCCTTTAATGAGTATTTGTACTACCTTTGTAATTTTTAAATAAATTAACTGTTAAAGATCGGTGGGCTTGACCAGTATCGATACTATGCTTCATGGTATCGATATCACTGTGTAAAGTAGTATCGGTACCCCTTTGAGTATCGATACCTATTTTGCATTTTAGAATTTGAGTAATTTGGAAAACAACTGATAGTATCGATACTATCTAGAGAGTATCGATACTTCTCTTACCTTTGGTATCAATATCATACGAACAGTATCGATACCGTTAATGTAATATTGATACTGTAAGAACAATATCGATACTATATACCCTGAAAACTGTTTTGTGCTCAAATTCTAGTTTAATGAACTTTGAATTATTTTTGAAAACTTTGAACAAATTCAATCAAGTCCAAAAACATTTTACCTTAATTTGTTATATTAAAATATTATAAAACATAGTTTAACAATCTCCCCTTTTTGATATAACAAAATATTTGAAAAATTGTTTTGGCAAAACCCCACTTTAATAAAACATTTCATGAAAAAAGGGAAATATTTGGAAATTATTAAAACTCCTCTCTTTTCATTGAGAAATTGAATTTTTCAAACTCATATTTCTCATTTTTTGTTATATAAAAAATAATTCAATTTTAAAGTTAAAAAATAACAATGGAGAGTAAGCGGTAAATTTTAACATAAAATCATTTGAAAAATCAAAGTTCCCGTCAATAAATGAATCCCAAACAAAAAATTTAACTTTAAAGGCATGACACTTAAAAGACATTGAATTTCAACAAAGATGAACAAACATGTTAGTAGCACATGAAATTCAATATTTCGAAGTCTAATATACTTTATGCAATACCAATTTTTGTATTTAAGTGCATGTGCATAAAACTATTAAAAAATGTTATATATTTGAAAAATTGATATCAATTGCTAGAGAGATATCATTTGCAATAAATCACATACATAAACATTTAAATTAAGGTTAAAAATTAAAATTTGTAAAAACAAAATATTAAAACCAAATTTGACAAAAAATTATTATGATGAACAAATATTTATGAAAAACATTAAAACTTTAGAAAATGTTCATCACGACACTTTTTAATATACATGAGATAGAAAACATAAAATTATTTAAAATCAAAACTCATACATGCTTAAACTAAATGAGAAACCAATTATGCAAGATAATCAAAATAAGCTTAGAGATTACCCATTCCATCTCAAGTGTGGCTAGAGCATTTGAGTGTCTTCACTTTCATCACCATTGCTCTCACACACCTACAAGAGACATTTATGTGGATTTTGGTATCCAAATTACTTTGGATCCTTGAACATTAGTTTCAATGCCCCTTGTTCCATTAGGAATTCATACTTGTTTAATTTTAAAACGTTTTCCTTTCTTTAAAGGACAAGTATCCTTGTGACCATGATAATGACAATGTGAGCATTTTGTTATTATGAAATTAGAAGAATTATTTAAAACGATTTCGTTTTCTTTTGTTAAGCATTCAAACTTAACCTTTAAATCAAAACTTTCTTTTTCAAAATTTTTAATTTTCATTTTTGAAAGCTCTAAATCTTTTTTCAAAATTTCGTTTTGTTTTTCAAATTCAACTTTAGTTTTCAAAAGAAAATTATTTTCAACTTTAAGTTTTGAAATAATTTTCTTGTATTTTGAGTTCATGGTCTCAAACTCCAAAAATAATTCATCGTATGCATCTTGTAACTTATTAAAAGAATACGAATTAGAATCACTAGAGTTAGAAGATACCTCGGGCTCTTCAAGAGTCATTAGGACACCACCTTAGTTGGTTCTTCTTTCTTATTTCCATGAATCTTTTCGAGCTTATTGCAAAGCTCGTTGACATTTGAACAAGAATAAACTCCTTCATAAAGATCAGGACCAAATGCACAAAACATGTGCATGGCCTTATCATTTTGTTGATTTTTCTTACGTTCTTGGGCACTCCACTCCTTTGTCTTCTTCTTTGGATAAGAGTAGCCATTCTCGATCATCTCCCATTCATCAAGATCGTTGGATTGGATGATCAACTTCATTAATTTATTCCAATGACGGTAGTTGACTCTATTGAAGTACGGAGGCTTGTCGATTAGTTGGGAGTCTTCCATCTTCTCGGTTGCATCGGGAATTGATAGAGGTTCTTCAAGGATCGTCTCAAGGTTGTTAGACCTTCTAATGAGTCAAGATCTGATATCAATTGTTGGGATTTCGATTAAGCTCAAATCAAACAATCGAATATTGCCACGAGGGGTGAATTGGCTTTTTGAGTTTAGGGAGTAAGGAGTAAAAAGAGATAGACAATTCGCACAAGATTTATAGTGGTTCGACTTCTCAACCAAGTCTACATTCACTACCTAAGTTCCTCATTTATGATTTTCTAACAAATTCACTAATTTGTTCTTTCGTTTTCCAGGGTAAAGAGATAACATTTACAACTTCAAAGCTTTTCAAAGGCTAAGCTAGAACCAATCCCCTTTCATAGGAATAAAATATGTAAACAAGAAAACCTCTTAAAGAAGGTGTTTACAAAGACTAAGCTTACTAAAACACTATTATTTACATGAGAAAGGAAAATAAGAACGAAAAGCTTTTCTCTTGTGTTTGATTGTTTGGATAGGTGTTCCAACCTTCTTCAAGTGTCTTCAACTTATTTTTATATGTTGGAATGAGTTTGTGGTCATTTTTAGCCGTTGGGAATAAATTTTTTGCAAAATAAAACTGCCCAGGACAGGGAGTATCAATACTCTTTTAATGAGTATCGTTATTATCTTTGTAATTTTTAAATAAACTAGCCGTTAAATACCGTTGGGCTTGACCAGTATCGATACTATGCTTCTTGGTATCGATACCATTGTGTAAAGTAGTATCGGTACCCCTTTGAGTATCGATACCTATTTTGCATTCTGGAATTTAAGCAATTTGGAAAACAACTGATAGTATCAATACTACGTAGAGAGTGTCAATACTTCTCTTACTTTTGGTATTGGTACCACACGAACAGTATTGGTACTGTTCATGTAGTATCGATACTGTAAGAACAGTATCGGTACTACGTATCCTGAAAACTATTTTGTGCTCAAATTCTAGTTTAATGGATTTTGAATTATTTTTGAAAACTTTGAATAAATTCAATCAAGTCTAAAAACATTTTGTCTTAATTTGTTATGTCAAAGTATTATAAAACATAGTTCAACAATTTGGTTTTGAGAGGTAAATCAATGGAGAGATTGCTTAAAAATGAGGCGGGAAAAATGAACGAGAATAGCATTTTAAAATCCTAGGAGATAACTAACTTTCAAATTGGTTGTTGCTTTTGGCCATTCACAGGTTTACTTTCTTTTCAATTTAGTCCTTATTTTAATTTTAAAGTTCATTTTTTAATACTTTTAATTAAAATTTTATTTTTTTTAAAAAAGGATTGAAATAAAATAAATATGAATATTAATTGCAAAACTCTGGAATCAACTTTTTAACTTCAAATTCATATCAACCTATATTTGAATAAAAAATTTATCAAAAATCCTTTTTATTTCAAAATTATCCGTAAAAAAGTTAAATCTAAACCGACCACCCACTCAATAAACTTACTAACCTGAATTTTGAGATGTGACATGTTACATAACAAGAAAAAATTGTTTATCTTACTCGTTACTAATATCATGTGCATCAACAGAGAAGATGCGGTCTCAGGAATTGGTTCTTGGGATTGGAATCTTAGGGGTTCTAATTCTACATATCATGCTTTATACCCAAGGGCTTGGACAATATATGAAGGTATCCACAAGTGTTGAACTTTTGGCTATTTTTTTTTCTTTTTTTAAAACTAACGGTTTTCAATCTATTGATTAATTATTCCGGATCGGGTTTGACATAGACATTATTATTGGAATGACCTCTCAATCCAGTTTGTTTCTTTCACATACATCATAATTCAAACTATTGACTTATTGAGTGATCACCATCCTGTCTTAAAATGCAGGTGAACCTGACCCAGCACTTAAAATTGTTTGTCGACAAATTTCACCTGTTATTCCCCATAATTACAAAGAAAGCAGCTTTCCCGTTACAGTTTTTACTTTCACTGTGAGAATGGTTCTAAAAAATTGCTTTGCAATGGTTAATCACAACTTGTTTAGGGATTGATCAGTTGATTTTTTATGGTTAAGCTATATAACACGGGAAACACCACCGCAGATGTCACGTTGCTTTTCACTTGGGCTGTGAGTAGCTATTTTTTCTTTCATGGTAAATACTCAAATGACAACTTAATTATAGGGTTGGTGTCGACATGACCACCATACTTTCAGATTTGATAATATAATCATATAACTATTTAAGTGGTTTCAATGTATCCGTCTGCCGTTACAAAACAAACGGTGTAGCTAATGGCAGACGGCTATATTGAAACCATTTAAATAGTTATGTGGTTAAATTGTTAAAATTGAAAGTTTGGTGGTCATGTTGACACCAATTCCATAATTAAACTGTCATTTGAGTAGTTTACCCTTTCTTTTAATACCACTCAATTTATAGTCATTCATTCAACATTTTTGTACATATCTTCTCAGAATTCTGTGGGAGGAGTATCTGAATTTTCTGGTCGTCACTCCAATTCAAAAATAATGTAAGTGTGTCATAATTCCCTAAGCTTACGTAGACACGCACACACACATATTCACGTGTGTCCATCTGTGCTTATCGATTAGTTTCTTCCTGGTCGGAATCTTCTTCTTCTTTGTCGCATAATTTTTGTACTAACATATCAAGGAACCGATTTTGCTAGGATGAAGGATGGTGTGCATGGTGTCCTTTTACATCACATGTAAGGTCAACAGTGAATATGGGGGGAAAATGTTTCGGCTTGGTTTGATCTGTTGAATAGCTTTGCACTACTTTTTAGTTTCTACAAGTAACGCCTAGTATTATTGGTACAGTACTGCCGATGAGCTACCTCCTGTGACATTTGCAATCGCAGCGCAGGAGACTGATGTTGTTCGTGTTTCGGAATGCCCTAGCTTTTTGGTATCTGGGAACTCAGAAGGCATAACTGCAAAAGAAATGTGGCAAGAAATAAAAGAGGTATGTTGACTTTGTTTCCCTCCATGTCCATGTGTGCACTATTCATTATATGATCATTATCATTGACTTTTCATTTCTTCATTAGCCATTAACTTCGCATATCATTGGCTAAAGTTTTCCTTAAAAACCATTAGTTTTTATGACCATTGTTATACTTCCGGAGAAGACCCTTCAGAAATTGCTAAATCTATGTTAGCAAGGATCTTTGGGAGACCATCCTCTAAGCAGAGCCCCCAGAAGTCTCCTGGAGAGATCATATCATATCTGGAATCGGTAAAGATGACGGTTCTTATATATTATCTCACCTGCAATTTGCAGACCACCTAATAATTTTCTGTAATGCATCCAAGACGCATATTTTAAACTTTAAGAGAGTCTTAAGAGTTTTTGAATTAATGTCCGGTCTCCAGCTTAATCTCAGCAAAAGCAAATTATTTGGCATTAACATTAGTGAGGAAGAGATCAAGGAGTGGGCAGGTGACCTTGGGTGTGCAGTTGGTACTTTCCCGTCGGATTATTTAGGACTGCCACTTGGAGCAAACAGGAATTCTTCTGCTCTGTGGGATCCGGTTGTTCTGAAATTTTTTAAGAAGCTATCGGGTGGAAGGAAAAAACTCTTTGGCAGGGAGATTGGTATTGTTGAAATCGGTATTGTGCTCTCTACCTACTTATTTTCTGTCTATGTTTAAAATTCCAGCAGCAGTGAATTCTAGGTTGAATTCCATCATAACTAATTTTATATGGGGAGGAGGGGCAGAGTCTAAGAAAATGTACTGGGTCAACTGGTCCACAGTGTGTAAACCAAGAAGCTGTGGTAGTCTGGGTGTGCTGAATATTAATTTTATGAATAGGGCATTATTAGAGAATGGTCCTGGAAGTTTGCTAATGATAGGGAATCAATTTGGAAGAAGATGATTTGTTCCAATTACAATCTGAACACTAATATGATTTTTTTCACTAGCAAATTACCAACAAATGCTTCTTGTATTTGGAAATCAGTGGTTAATAATCATTATAAAGATGATCAGTTTGGTGCTAAGGTTCGAAGCATGTTTCAAGTCAAAGTGGGTAATGGGGTGAGCATCAGGTTTTGGTTTGATATTTGGGCTCTGGATCATCCTTTGAAAACTGTTTTTCCGAGACTATTTGCTCTTTCTTTAAATCAGTTTGGGACTTTAAATGTGTTTGGTGAGTTCAAATCTTCCGGGTGGTTTTGGTATGTTCAGTTGAGAAGAAACCTGTATGATTGGGAGCTGGAACAATTTTCAAATTTACTAGCTATCATTCATAATTTTAGTCTCTCCCAAGAATCTAAAGATGGTTTGATTTGGAGAGGGAACGGCGAAGGTTTTTTTCTGTCAACTCTTGTTTGAAGACCTGTTATCTTGAATCGGTAGAAGGCAAATTTTGGGAGAAATGTATTTGGAGGGGGTTGGTGCCTCCAAAAGTAGAAGCTTTTATGTGGCAATTAGCGCATCAGAAGTTAGCAGTAAAGTTTGAATTACAGAAAAGAGGGGTTTCGGGGATTGTTGATATTTCTTGTCCTTTGTGCAAAAAAGAGATTGAATCTGTCACTCATCTATTTTCACTTGCACGGTGGCATGGTCCCTTTGGAATAAGTTTCTGAATATTTGGAAAGTTAGTTCGGTTCTTCATGTTGATGCTAAATGATTTTTACTTGCTTGGCATGATATGGTGCCTGCTTCTTCTGTTTGGTCCTTAATTCCGGGAGTAGTGCTTTGGACTATTTGGAAATTCAGAAATGAAGTGGTGTCCGAAGGAAGGTCCTTAGATCAGATTGAGCTATTTTTCATGACTAGGATTAGACTTGCTTCTTGGTTTTTAGCTAAGTTTAACGAGGTTTCTACTTCAGAGACTCTATTATTAGTGATCCATCTATTGCAGATTATTGTTGTTCTTCTACAAATTAGCCTCATAAAGTTGTCTCCTGGATTCCCCCTCCTAAGAGCTATCTAAAATTGAATGTGGATGCAGCAGTTTGCAATGATTGGCGAAAGAGCGGTGCAGGTGGTTTATTAAGAGATGAGGTTAGCGATATCAAGGGATCTTTCAAAGAATCTGCTGGTCCAGGCCCTCCTACTCTGTTGGAGCTTATAGCCGTCAAGAGGGGTTTAATTACCTTTGAGTATATTCTTCAGAGTTTTAAGACTCAGTGGTTTGTTGAACCTGATAGCAAACTTGCAGTGGATTGGGTTAAGAATTCTGATAACTGTCCTACAGTTTTTCTTGATTTAGCCAAAGAAATTGCTGCTATGATAAGAGCTTCCGAGGGTGCTATCAGATGGGTGGACAGAACAACTAATATAGAAGCTGATACCTTAGCCAAGGCTGGTATTGGGTTGTTTTTGTAAGGGGATTGGCTGTTTTAAACATTATGTCATCTTTCAGTTATTAATGAAATTTGAGGCACTCTTTTCCTTCTTTTGCTGATTAAGGAATATCGATTGGTGTTCTATTAATCATGAAGGGTTTTTTTAATGAGGTCTCCACTTCCTATAAAAAAAATACCATATCTAGAATCATCTTTCGTCGGGACCGTTCTTCGAAGCATGTATTCCTCGGTCTTTAATATTATCTTTGAAAAAGTCAAATTCGATAATTGGCAACCATATCTGTCTGTTAGCCTACTAACAGGCATGATGACCTTTAGTCTGATACCAGTCACCCTATAGTTGGAGTATTTATACCCCGAAAAAATATTAAAACGGGGATCCAACTTCTTTTCCATTCTCTCATTTTATCAAGAGTTATCGTCTTTCTCACGTCACCTTTCTCATCCTTTCTTTCACAGAAATTCACCGGCTAACGGTCATCGTTACTCCGATTGCGACTTTCCACCCGAGCCAAAAAAGATTAACCATCAACTACAGACTCAATCCATTTGTTTCCATCAACAACCCTTTTCATCTGTAATTAGGCCATTAACATTCATATCATTAGCTGTAAGTCTTCCTTAAAAAACATTAATTTTGATGACCCTTTTCATATGCAATTATTCAACAAGTTCGATTCTAGCCAAATAGTCTGCGATTGATTTGCAGTTAGCAGTGGCACTATCCAAATCCTACACTTCATTGCTTCTGCCCACATAGAACTCGTGCTTAAATCTTTGTTAAGGTAAACTGAAATTAGGACATCCGAAACTGTTTTTGTAGCATGGCTCTTTCGAGCATTTGAGATCTACTGAAGCATCAGTGTATTCGGAACGAGGGTCCTCTATTGGTGCAGCCATTGCAGCTTCCGTGACGGTTCCATCTGATGCTGTACGCACTGTTACATTTTCATTGGCGTGGGACTGTCCTGAAGTAAACTTTCATGGTGGAAAGACTTATTACAGGTTTGTGGTTAACATACTTGTAGAAGAAATTTCCCTACCTGAAAGCTTATTTGCTTGCTGAGTAGTGTATGCATTGCAGGCGTTATACGAAGTTCTATGGAACCGATGGAAATGCTGCAGCAAATATTGCACTTGATGCTCTTCTTGGTAATAATCCCCTGTTATCTGTGTTAATATTGGTTTTTAATTTTATACCAGTAAATTTTATATAAACATTAGAATCCAAGTCTGTTTTGTTTCTGAAAATATTTTTCGCCTTTATTTTCTATTGTTATTTTAAAAATAAATTTTATTTTCTATAGTTGAAAATTAAAAACATGTTTGACATATTAAAATAAAAAATTTGCTTTATAATAAGGAAAATATGAAAATAAGGTTTGTTACATATTTTTCCAAGAATAGAAACATAAAAAAAATAAAAAAAAAGCATGGATTTGAATCAGGGTTAGAAATTTGATAATTAGTCATTTTTGGAATTTTGTTTTTGCATTTATATGAATTTGAACTAGAGTCAATTCAATAATCTAAAAAGCTTTTATTTTCATTGTTATTAATGCTTTGTAAAATTGGAAAAGTGATAAACAAGAGTTTTTAAAATTTTAGTTTATTGATGAATTAACTCTGGTTCAAATCCATACAAAGTTAAAAAAGAAAACTTTTTTTGAACGATTTTTAAAAATCAAACTTTTAACCTTAGTTCAAGTCCATATAAATGTAATAACTTTTTTATTTTACTTCTCCGGTTTTATTTTTTCATTATTGATTTTTTTTCTATTTATCAAATTTATTTTTTATTTTTTAAAAAATAAAATATGATTTTTTTTCCAAAAAATGAAAAAACAGAAAATGTTTTCAATTTAAAAAAATGAAAAAAAATAAACACCAAATGGAAAATAAAATTTTGTTTCCAGTACCTATTTTGCATTTTGATATGTTATTTTTTTTAAACATAGAACACACCCATTGGGAATCACAGATTGAAGCATGGCAAAGGCCTGTACTTGAAGACAAGAGGACCCCTGAATGGTTAGTTCAGTCTTATTATTTGCAATTACTTGTGCTACCAGACCCTATTTTTTGAACCCTCTCAACAGGTACCCTATCACTTTATTCAATGAGCTCTATTATCTTAATTCAGGGGGGACGATCTGGACAGGTGTCTGTATATTGCACTCATTTCTTAAGATTGGATTTCTTGTAAAGGACTTGTGCTAATATTTCCCTTTTTTGTTTGTACCACAGATGGATCACCTCCAGTCCATAGTTTAGTAAGCATTGGAGGAAAGAAGTTTTCCCTTGATAGATCTCAGTTAGTATTGAAAAATATTATTGGTGTTCGCCATCAAAATGATACTGCCATTGACATTCTAGGAAGGATGACTAATATACTTGAGCAAATACACACTCCAACTGCATCGAATTCGGCTTTAGGAACAAATTTGCTTCAAGAAGGAGAAGAAAACATTGGTCAATTCCTTTATCTCGAAGGAATTGAGTATCACATGTGGAACACCTATGATGTTCACTTTTATGCATCTTTTGCACTGATCATGTTGTTTCCTAAACTTCAGCTCAGCATCCAAAGAGATTTTGCTGCTGCAGTAATGATGCATGATCCTAGCAAGATGAAACTTTTACATGATGGACAGATGGTTCTGAGAAAAGTTCTTGGAGCTGTTCCACATGATATTGGAGTCGATGACCCGTGGTTTGAAGTAAATGCGTATTGCCTTTACGACACTGATCGATGGAAAGACTTGAATCCGAAATTTGTTCTCCAAGTTTACAGGGATGTCATTGCCACCGGTGACAAGAAGTTTGCAGAATCTGTTTGGCCCTCTGTTTATGTTGCAATGGCTTATATGGAGCAATTTGACAAGGATGGTGATGGGATGATTGAGAATGACGGCTTCCCCGATCAGACATACGATACATGGTCTGTGTCTGGTGTAAGTGCCTACAGTGGTGGGCTCTGGGTAGCAGCCTTACAGGCTGCATCTGCTTTGGCACGTGAAGTAGGAGACAAGGGTTCTGAAGATTACTTTTGGTACAAGTTTCTGAAAGCAAAAGATGTCTATCAGAAATTGTGGAATGGCTCTTACTTCAATTACGACGACAGTGGTAGTCACACAAGTTCGTCTATTCAGGCTGATCAGTTGGCCGGCCAATGGTCCGTAACAATGGACATAATTTGAAACTTCTAGTTCATTATTACTTCTTCCATAATCTATAATATGATTTTGGTTAGAAAATTATACTTCTTTATATGCAGTTTAAACCTCTTTATATTGTTTTGTTCATGTGGTAATGAATTACAATGGCTTTGTAGGTATGCAAGGGCATGTGGTCTTTTTCCAATAGTTGACGAGGTCAAAGCAAGAAGCGCGTTAGAGAAGGTATACAATTACAATGTCTTAAAAGTGAAAGGTGGGAAGCGAGGGGCTGTAAACGGGATGCTGCCCGACGGAAGAGTCGATATGTCGTCGATGCAATCGAGAGAAATATGGTCTGGAGTTACATATGCAGTGGCTGCAACAATGATCCATGAAGATTTGGTGGATATGGCATTTCATACTGCAAGTGGAATCTTTGAATCTGTGTGGTCTGAAGAAGGACTTGGGTAAGATTGACATTTCCTTCTTTTTTTCATTTAATTGGTGATGGTATGAATTTTTGTGGAAAGCTTCCCCCTAATGTTTGAGAAATAAACCGAATGGAATTCACAGATTGTGAGAGTTGCCTTTGAGTGGGAGTGATTATATGGTAATATCTTTTTAGAATTTTTCTTAGCAATTGACAACACACACCGCAGACAGTTGTTTGAACCTGAAACATTTCCTTTTTACCACTTAGGCCACTCAATGGCTTCGATGATTATTGTTTGAATATTCATTTGTTCACCATATTGCATATATGTTGACAGTTACTCATTTCAAACCCCGGAAGGTTGGAACACAGAGGATCAGTATAGATCTCTAACATACATGCGTCCGTTGGCCATATGGGCAATGCAATGGGCATTATCAAGACCAAAACTTGCAAAGCAGAACCTAAAATCCCAAGTGAAGGCAGATTCCCTACGTACACACCATACCGGATTCTCCAAAGTTGCTCGCCTTCTAAAATTGCCTGAAGATCAAGGTTCCCCAAGTCTTTTCCAGATTATATTCGAATATACTTGCAAGAGAATGTTGGCTTAATTGTTACTGCTGTAGTGAGTGTGCAATGCGCTATTCAATAATTGAAAAACTCATTCATTGACGCCAGATAAGCATTTTAAAGTTTTTGCACAATTATATGGTGTGCTTAAAAATAGTGAATTTTTGTTCTTTGAACATTGTTTTGATTTCATTTGCAACTACGCATTCTAATTTTGGTGTTCACTTCATTATTGTCGTAGCAAGCGCAGTGGTTGGATAGAATCCTTTAGGGTAAATTACATATTTAGTACCTACTTTATTATTCAAATTTTGGTTTCATACTCAAGTTTTTAACACCAAGATACCAAAATGAAATCTAAATTAAACGTCAAATATGAATTTAAAATAAAAAAGCTTTGAGTACCAAAATGAAACAAAAGTAATATTTTATGTACTAACATGCAGGTTACCCAAATTTTTTTTATTAAAGTTTATCTAATTCTGAATAATGCCAATTGGAACTTAAATCCTTGAATTTTAAACATAATGCATCTAATTCTTCTAATAGGTATGTAGGCTTATACCATCTTTAACGGTATAACTGGTACGCCGCATGCTTCTATAACATTTCTCATCAACTGGTGTTTAAATATTACACAATAATCAAAATAGTTGGACATTCTGAACCAAAACATAATCTAAACCTAAGCTTTTCTCCAAAAATGACAATTGAAAGATGAAACAGTAATAAAAAAATGTGTAGACGGTGTGTTTGAAAGCAGGTATAACAACTAGGAGAACAGTTTGCTTCACATCTAGCGATCAGAAGCAGTGGCATCATCTTCCAAACTTTTCCGTTTCTTCTTCCCTTCACCATGCCTTGACATCCGGGGTGCCTCATCCTTGCTTTCATTGTCGTCATTCCTGAGGCTGTTTCAAGCAGCAAACTGATCTTCGTTGTGAGCCTTTTGTCCTTTCTGCTACTGTGTCTTATCATCCAACCCACTGCCTAGATCACCCATTTCCTGGCCTCTACCCTGCTCTAATCCTGCACTAAATCTGTCATTGGTGCTGGAGGTAGGGGAAACATAGGAGGCATGCCAATGGGCCGGCCACCTTGAGAGCAAGATTTGCATCTGTGGGTCCCATGCCCCCCAAATGGAGGACGCCATCACCATCCCCATTCCACCAGATGGAAACACTGCCCCAGGTTGCGGAGCTCGTCCTGGAAACATCATGCCAAATGCAGGACCTCTAAAATCTCCAAAAACCCTCGGCCCATACGGAGCAAAAGGACGGGAAGCACCAAAAAGATATGGCATCCCAAAACCATCAGGTGCAACTGGTCCATATCAAAAGCATCATAGGTGGAAAGCCTCTCATGCCAGGCATGGGCACCACAAGCTAGTGGCATGTGAGGGGACCACATTATTCCTCTGCCTCTTCCCCTTCCCTGAGCCAGAGAACCGAAGCTTTCAGCCTCCTCATTTTCTTCCTCTTTCTCTTCTTCATTTTACTCAAATGGAACAATGTCCGGGATCTCTGTATTATTTGAATCGACTCCCTTTGCTTTCTCTCGTTCACATTTTGATTCTGCTTCCAGTGAAATTGCCCGTACCCCATGGGATTAAACAATATATCCTCAACCTAAAAGCATGGTAAAATGAAGGCAATGCCATAGCCCAAACTAAGATGTTTTAACTGCATTTTCTTCTTAAGTAGTTTGAAACAATACTAATCTTATACTTCCACAAACCTTTTGCAAATTACAATATACACCTCAGTTGGTTAGTTTCTAATCAATCTCCTGTTGAAAATTAAATAATCATATAGATTGCTCTGGTAAGCACTAGGCACATCAGAACTCGACTCCCCAAAACACTTGAGTCCACACAATCTTATCACTACTGTCACCTTCATAGTATGATTTATTAGGAGGCTATTAGCCCGTATGTGTCTCTAACCCATACTTACCCATACAAGGACCTCATATTTGTGCATGTAAACGGGTTCATACTAACTAGCATTCAAGCAAGCACTAGAACACAAGATTTGCTTCCCTCTCTTTCATTCCTTCTTTTTCAAATTTCCCATACTTATTCTAAAAATTTTATTTCTATTGTTATCAAAATCAGATATCAGAAAAGTAAAATACAATAAGCATACTATAAGCTCACAATATGGTTCAAGATAAAGCAAGGAGGCCAATTGCTCACCAACAGAAGGGTCTAACGCTAGGCAATCTCTGCTTATCTGCAAGTGCATTAATAAGGTTAAACTACAATTCACCAAATATAACATCACAGGATAAAACATTGTGACATTGTCTATTGCAGACACCATATTAAAGATAAATGATACATGGTAAAAGCAGATAAATAATTCTTATAAAGTGGGGTATTAACCTAATACGATGACAAAAATATTGCTGACATAAAATATCATTGATCATCATTAAGGCTTAACCTTCAAATGCTGGAATCATACCTATACCAGTAAGTTCTCATTGCAAGGGTTCCTCAAATGGCAAGTTCTGTGGAAGGACAGCTTACATAACTACATATCAAGCAGCAATTAGTCATCAGAATCTTGCAAACAAAAGGCAGTAAACTAATCAACAACTACAAATGTAGCAATATTATATCTTGAAAACACAAAATGTCAAAACATGCCAAGGATATCTTCATAGAAAATATTTTAGTTCCATAAAACTTATCTTCATAGAAAATTTTGTTTTAGAAGGAGAGGGGAGGAGGATGGAGAAACAGACTAACCATTTTACTGAGAAATTCCATCCATAATGTGCAGTTCAATTGTTCCATGAGCCTGTTTCCAGTTGCCACCAGCAACAGATCCACCAACTTTGGATGTCATCTTGGCACAACTCTAAAGAGACAGGACTATGTAATGCCTAAAACAACAGACATAAAAAGACAACATTTTGGACTAATGGTAATACATAAGCCCTACTTGTGAACTGACTAGCTAGTAATGCAAGACTTACAGGTAAAGAGTTATTTCAGAATAACACATGTATGAGTTCCCAAATTGAGTAGATATATGATTTTAGATTTCTGAAGTACCTGTAAATGCAGCATATGGTTAACGGAGAAGATCAAAAATCACATTTTCAGAAGAATCAAAAGCATCAGTCAGTTTAGCCTCATTGCTTCTTTGAGTTGTCTATACTCCTTGTTGAACAGATAGTTTGAGATTTTCATGGTTGCAACTTTTAACAATAAAATACCCAGGGTGCCATATTTGAGAGTAAAAAAATTAAACAAAGTTAGTCACCGAAACAACATGTAATTTAACACCGAAAATAATGTCAAATTTAGAAAGAAAATAATAGAACGGCTAACAGATTCTGTCTGCTTGGTATAAGGTAGAAGACTGCCAACAGCTAATTTTTTTTTTTTTGATAGAAATGAGAGGTCTCATTAAAAAACCCCCTTCATATCTGAAGAAATACACAATGGTTTCTCTACGAACATAAGGAGGAAAAGAGTACCTCAATTTTATTAATAACCCAAAATAAAACCACAGATACAAAAATCAGTCTATAAACACAACCAAAAACTCCTGTACAACACACCAAAAAACCAACCAGAAACAACAAAAACAAACAGATGCAATCAATCAAAGTTCACAACAGTAACCAATCACCAAACGAAAAACGAAGTATTGTAATAAGCAGCTCAAGACATGGCTTATTACTGTTAGATCGTCGGTCATAAAGCTGAAATTAAACTTGAGGATTTTTAGGCATATAAGTTTTCAACCCATTTGACAAATTGACAAATGCAAAATCAATACAATCACTCCTTACAGAGTTTCAGGAAAACTTAAGCATAGATTTATAATGAGGGTTCTTACCATTGAACAATTTAATTCGTTCTACAACAGTGTTACAACTATAACTTAATTTTATGAATCCAACTCTTGAATTGATTACTGAAAACTAATTCATAACTTCCATTCTCATTGTTCATGTAAATCATTCTTATTATATCATCCTCTTCTTGTCATTTCTCCCACTGGATCACGTCATAACATATAAAGTAGAAAAGACACGAAGCAGTGAACTTAATGGTCAAATGAAACAAAATATGCACTACATAGGAGGGGGGTCCTGATTTTCTTTCAGACACCTAAACCAACAAGACTAAAAAATAAACACACCGACACCAGAGTACAGAACACCCTTATAAACAAGATAGTCCAGTTGGACAAAAATACTCTGAAATTCTAAAAGAAAAAAGAGTATACATTAATTTTCTAAATCCTTTTCACCAAAAGAAAGATGTTTATTGTATCTAAAGATTCAACAAGTTTAGTTTATAATAACCTCATTTCTATTTGTACACGAAAGAGAAAAGGAGAAGATAAAATTTATTCAACCCTTAACAGTACCATCTGGTCCAATACAGGCATTGACATATTCTTAGATGCCCCTGCAAAATAAATAATACAAGAGCTTGAAGGTGGAAAACAACTCATAAAAGAATAGAAAATGATTCAAATCACTAAAGTTGAATAATACAGCATAAATGTGTAATAAAATGAACAACTACCTAGTTTAGGTTTTTATGATGCTAATTACACCTTTATATATAATGACAGAAATCAGAATTCATTTGGGCAGTTATTATTGAATAAAGGATATCTCATAACTCTGTCCAAAACAAAATACAATTAACGGTTAACAGAACTCAGACCGCAGGACTCTTAACACACCTATATATTCCTTGAGGCAAAGGTATAGCAGGTCTGGCTGCCCTGTTGTTGTGGTTGTTGAACTTGCTGCTGTTGCTGCACATTAGTAGATTCAGTCCCCAAAGGTTTTCCAGCTGCTCCTTGGTTTACGTCATATGAGCTTGTGGAATCTGAGGTTTTTCAGTTTGTTGGGGAAAGCCAGCATTGCGGTGTTGAAAGAATTTGTTGTTATAATTGTAAGCACTTAATTGTTGAATCTACTGCAGGACCTCTTCTACAGGAGGCGGAGGTCCTGGGAGCTTTGCATGCGTATATCTGCAGTTAGGACCATTAGGACAAAAACCTAGCTTGTACCTGCAGCCATGAAATTTTGCATATTAAGTATTAACAATC